TTAATATGTCTGTAATTCTTGAATTAAGCTGGCCTCACCATTTCGTTATGTTTTTCATACCAGTAGTTCATTAAAATAGCTTGGTCATTTTCCCCCTTTTATCTTTTTTTTTTTTTTGAGAAGTCAGAAATTAAGCATGCCTCACTTAGCATTTTTGCCACAGAATACTTTCTGAATAAATTTTATCTTGGAGAATTTGAGAAGAGAATTTGTTAGGCAGTGAAGAAAGTGTTAAGAAATGAGGTGAATCTTAAGAAAAAGGAGTGCAGCTGGTGCTTGCTGGTGCTAAACTGTGGTCTCCTCCGCAACTCAGTTTCCTAGCTCTTCACTGGGGACCAAGGCTGCAGCTACCTGGAAAGAAAGCAGGATGGTCCCCTAGCACAAGCAGCAGGTGCCAGGCCCTGCCTTCACTTCCAGGAAGCCTCTAGCACTCTGGAGGGCCATGAATGTGTGGCCGAGGGTGAGGGGACTCTCCACCTCCTCATTTGCTGTGACCTTAAAACTCCTCTCAAAGATGCGCTTTTTAAAAACAGTCAATAGATACCTTAATTTATACACAAGAACATGTTAGGTTTTTATGCTCTCCTGTTCAGAACAAAATTAATCTGCCTCACAGAGTAGTTCTGGGACCTTTAACATTCTCTCTTGCTCATTGCACTGGAGTTGCATGCAGTGACGTGTTCGAAAGGATGAGATAAAGCTGCTCCCATTCACACAGGATATCACTGTCTGCGTAGAAAACACCAACAGATGTATCTTGTTTCAAGTTCCTGCTCAGCAGCACCATGCCTAACTTTTTCAAGGTCCTGAGTTCGATCCCCAGTACCAAAAATTAAAGTTCCTAGAACTAGCAAATTAAGCAAGGTTACAGAGTTCAAGGTCAGAATACAAAATTCACTTGAATCCTGGCAGTGAACAGCTGGGATTCCAATTCCCAGATATGTGCTGTGTACTGGCACCACCCAAAACTGAAGTATAATGTCTGATAAAACATTATCAGGATTTTTGTGGTGAAAACTTATGAGAAAAAGCAACAAAGACAGAGAAAGAGAGAGAGGGAGGGGGAGAGACATGCGCTTTTTTTCATTGCTTTGTTTGCTGTGTTTGGGGCAGTGCTGGGATTCACGGTGAGCTACATCCCCAACTCTTTCCTCAGTTTTTATTTGGAGACAAAGTCTCACTAACTTGCCCAGGCAGAATTTGAATCTGCGACCCTCCAGCTGCAGCCTCCCGGTATGCACAACCACACTTGCTCAGACTGGAGCCTTTTTGGAGGAGAGGAACCAAGGCGTAGCCTCAGGTGTTAAAGAGATCCAGGTGAAGAGTAAGTGAGAACTCTCTGTGGACTGTATTTTTGACTCTTGTCAGCCTACGATCATCCAAAGTAAAATGCTTGAAGATGAGTGGAACGCTGTTCCCAGCTTCCCTTTAGGAGCAGTGTTGTTTCGTAGCTTGAGCTCCCAGCAGCTCCTCTACCGCTGCCTCTTGCCCAAGTGGGGCAAGGAGATGGGAAGTGAGAGCACCATCCGTGAGTCCTGGGTGGAAGCTGCACAGCCACCCTGCTCCGTGGGCATCTTTCCTTCGCAGCTGTTCAGCTAAATGACTACAGCAAGGCCGTATGTGAGTTCATCAACAAGGCTGGTTGATGAATGATGATTCTCAGATATTAAAGATGCCATTTTTCTTACCTAGTGTGTCACACACAGGATGTGTAGAACTGTTGTAGTAGATGCTAGAATAACTTTGTGCCCCTTTTAAGGACTGAGTAGAATTTGACCCACCTTCGTGTGTCTCTACCCCTCGCTTTATTTAGACTTTTAGTTATTTTGATTTATCAGGCATTTTATGGGAAGTATGTTGGGTTAATATTTTCTTTTTTAGTTCATTGCAACGCTATCTGTGACCCTGCAAAGTAGATTTTCCCTATTCTGGAAAGGTAAGGTAAAGATAGATTTGGCTAATGAAACTATTAAAGCCCAGAGCTGATACTGCTTTTCTGATTTGATGAATTAATAAATCAGTGTTTTTGCTGTCTTATGCAATGTTAATTCTGGGGGTAGCCATGTAAGTTAAATGTATAAATTTACTTATCAAAATTCTACTGTAGCTCTCTTGTGGTTTATTTTCTTAACATTTAGAAAGGAACAAATTCAGAGGACTTGGGCTTTCTCCTCGAGGTTTTTTAAAGTCACTTGACATTTTATTGTGGATTTTATTTGAACTTTGGTGCCACACACTTTTTAAAGACTGGTCCTTGGCTCCTCTCACGGGCACATCATGTTCGCCAGTGTACTGCTTCACATTGCCTCATGTCTGAGAAGGGACCTCATCTTGAAGCTTTTTATATACTAATTTGACTATGAGCTTGTGGAGACCGTATATATTGGTAGTGTATCTGTGTCTCTCAACATGATTGTGTACAGTGGCCAATAAAAGTAAGGTAAATACTTTTACTTAAATCTTTGCAACTACCACCCCATAAAGAGCTAGGGAGAAATCTGGTTTTGGTATAAAGTTACCAATTTTCTAATACCTTGTTTCACTGAACTCATTAACAGATTTTCCCCCAGTGTTCTTTATTCAATAAAAATTAGGAGAAAAGTACCTAGATGAAAAAATGCTGCCATATACACAGAGCTAACTGAAGACTACGTAGTACCCTGAACAGAGTTCCTGAGAACACAACTTGATATTCTCATCTCTAATGGACACAGATTTTCCCACACTGAGCACCGTTCCTGTTCTGCACTGCCACCCTCCACCCCAAGCTGCTTCTCTTGTCTCATCCGGGCTGTTGTTCAACTGTCCCATCCCCTCTGCTCTGCCCTGCACTGGTGCCTCTCCGTTCACTGGGGTGCAGACACCGTGCCGCCTGCTGTGCCTCATGCTTCTCTCCAAGCAGCACTCTTCCCTTTACCACTTGTCCATGGCACGGCCGCTGTAGTCAAGAATGAGCAGATGGGCCTTTCCCTTTGTCTGATGACTTTTACTCATGACATAAGACCCAGCTTCAGATGTTAGCTGTTATGTGCACCTTTCCTTTCTTCTACACTGAGTTGGTTTGCTCTACCTGAGGTTCTCATAACAACACCATTTGAGCAAAGTCGTCCTGTTTGGCTTCCTTTTCTACATACTCTGTCCTGTGGAGCGCCCCTTTACCTCTGTCTTGTATCCTTCCATGCCTCCGCCCTGTGTCATCTCTCTTCATGCTTTCCATCCTGTGTGGTTTCCCTTCATTGCTCCATCCTTTATGGCTTCCCTTCATGCCTGCATCCGGTCTGATTTCCCTTCATGCTTCTCATCCTGTATGACTTCCCTCCATGCCTCTATTCTTTGTGGCTTTTCCTCATGCCTTCATGCTGTGTGGCTTCCTTTCACATCACCCACCAGGTATGGATGACTAGTGAGTTTAGCGCTCTTGTTCCAGGACCTACCTCTAGTTCCAGTGGTGGACTCTCACAGAATTATCCATAAACGAACACATAATGTCATTGTTGAGTAAATAAATGCATCCATTTCAAGATCAAGTTGGTGCTGAGAACTGCATTCATCCTGGGTGTCCTCTTCTCATGGTTATTTATCCCACTTTTGTGCCTCTTCTTATAACCAAAATACATTGTTCTCTCACATTGAGTAAAAGAGCTTTAAAAAAGCAAAATTCAACACTGGTCTTGTTGTCGTCCACTACTTGGTCTGTGGAGTTCGGTTTGGGAGCTTGGACTGGGAGGGTAAGGTGTGGAATCACCAGGCAGACCCTGGGGAGGTTTCTGGAACACTTCTGCTCTATGTAGGAAATGCACAGGCTTATATAGCTTACATATGGACAACCGTGGGTGAGGAGCATGGGAGGAGCATTTAATTGCATGGCACTTTCTTATAGGTTGTGCAGATCCATACGTTAGTGGAGAGCATTGGGCGATATCTTACTGGCTAGACATATGGTGGGGTGATTTTTCTTGGGCGAGGCGAAGGAGTCACGGACTAGGGGTGGAGGTGTAGCCTGTTAGACCCAGCGTCTACACACTTAGGTGAGTTAGCTCAGCCTTAGCAAGGTCTCCGAGTTAGCTCAGGAGACAGGAGTGTGGTGCACCTGGCCCAGCCAGGCTTGAACTGCTGGTCTCCTATAAATATTACTGGGCCTTAGAAACTAACAAACAGGAAGAATTGGGCCTCATTTGTGGTCAGCAAAAAAGAGCTTATACTTTAGGTAGCAACTGTACAAAAGGACAGTGGGTTCACTGAATGTAAGAAATAAAAATCCAGATTTAAATAAACTTGAGTGTATGTTTCAGTTTGGTTATTGTAGATGTAAAAGTCTACCTGTGTGTAGAAACATTATCAGGGAGTTTGGTCATGGAATGGAGAAGACTGCAGATTCTCATTATTGAATTAAAAAATGAAAACATTCTCGTGATCATTTAAAACTTGTGGACTCAAATAATAACAGCGTGGTGGTAATGGTGAAGATAAAGGTGAAAGCTTGCTGTGAGACACTACTCTTTGAGGAGATCTTCTCTCAAAGGCATCGGCCATTGGTCAAACCATCAGAGATCCAAAGGATTACTGTTTAACTTTGGGCTTGTGGTCTGTCGTCTCCCAATGCATTGTTTAAATTATTAAAGTCACAGAATATTTATAGAGAAGTGTTTGTAAATGACTATAAATTGATACCTTGGAATTTTAAAATATATATATTATTTCATGTATTTAAAAATGGGTCAATTAAATATCTAATATCCCTAAGGTAATAACTTGTATTTCTAATTATTATTAATCTTTTTCTTAACCAAGTATTTATTAGTATTCATAACTCTTGTACAACATGGAGATTCTGTAGTCACTTTGGTGTCTGAGAACACAACTTTTTAGATCTATGGAGTATGGAGTACTCTGCCGCTTGTTTCTTTTGTTTTCAGTGTGTCATCAAAGTGACTAGGCAGTCATTGCCCACAAAAGCCTAATGAGTCTATAAAGTCTGTTTCGCTTGCTCATTCCTATAGGTACTGTGGTCTTTGGAGCTGGGTCACTGGATTTCTGAGGAGCCTTTTGAACTCTCCACCTACTTCCCGGCAGCTCCTGTAAGTCGAATGTTTTCGTTTTTGTTTTTGTTTTTCTTATGATAAATGGAATTTTGTTTGCTTAGGAAATCACTATAAACATAAACTCAAGTTACTAAGGGCAGTCATGCTGAAATTAAAAACATATCCACAGAATTTAATACCTTTTATTTATTTATGAGATCGTATTGAAAATGTGATGGTACTTTACAAAACTGGAGTAAGAAATGTGGTCTCAAGAAATTTTAGTTTCAGGATTGAGAAAAACAAAAGTAATTTTAAAAACTATTCTAGGGTAGGTAGCATTACATCTTGAATACTGTTTTTAAAAAACTGTTAATAGAGATAGAACTGATAGGTATAAAATTGTGGCTTGCTAGCATTATGGTATAGTCTTTATATTTTGATGGTTTTCTTAAACCTACTTCAGTTTTACTGACTCTTAAGTGTTTCATATGTTTAATGGAAAAGTTCCAGGTTCTACTTTTCTTTAAAGATTAAACAATAAAAAAGTGATTTGATACTTTATTGGAAGCACAGTGGTATGGAAGTTAGCTTCATTCTCAGAACTGTGGCTGCCATGTGGCAGCTGATTCCTTCCAGCAGTTGGTATCTGAGTGCTCAGCTGTGGCCTTATCTGCTGCCAAAGTTGGCATAGCAGGAGGGTGAGCTCTGCTTGGTATTCACTGCAATCTATCTAGGTTGTTGCATTGTTTTTGTTTTCATTTTTAGGGTTATTGTTTGATTTCCTTTCAACTATAAATGTTTTCCTAAGGAGAGAAAAAAATCCTCCTAGCAGGAGTGTTTGTTTGAAATACTGTATAAGGAATTGAAGTGTAAAGTACAAACACAAATTCCTCCCATTCTCTGTCAAATGAGATTATATATAACTCTGAGTAACACAGTGAGGTTTGTCTTTGAAATTCGTTTTTCCTGCCTGAATGAGAAATTGATATACACGGTTTGTTGTTGCCAGTTTTTGTGTTATCATTTTCTTACCTCAGCATCTGTCATTATGGCCATTGAGGTACTAAAAACTAACTGTGGGCTTTTGAAGTTGTGAAATTGTCTAATTAGCAGACTTTTTAAAACCCTATCTGAATCTATGATAGCCAGTTAAGTTTTTAAATCGTTTAAATGTTGTCAGCCCAGGAGGGTTGGAGGGTGGCTGGGGGAATGCAGCAGGATGGGGTGGTCTGGGGCCTGGAGGCTCTCGCTGTCCACCGAGCATCCTATCTTAATGCTGCGCCTGAGGGGTGCAGGGGAGAGAGAGCAGAATAAAGAAAAAGTGGTAGGACAGTAAAACATGGGCACACATGCAGGAATGCTGGCTCCTTTTCTGTGGAATTTTGGGTGTACTCAGCATCAGATTTTGAGTTTGCATAAGGAAGCATTTCTTCCTTTCAGTCTGCTGATGGGTGTAAAAAAATTAAGACAAATCTTTTTTCTTATGTAAGAGTCAAATCGAGCAATATAGCTTTGTGAATATCTCAGATGGAATGTTTTTCTAAACCACAAATTAAATTTCAGCTTAGTCTATAAAATAAATCTAGTGAAATGAGAAACTAAACCTCTTTGCTGTTACAGGGAAAAGGAAATATCTTTGTCAAGGACTTAAATGGATAATTTCCTCATTATTTAACTTTTCTTTGTCACGAAGCACAGTCATTTCATAACCAAATTATAGAATTTACAGTATTATCATAAAAGTTAAACATAATTATCTCACTTAATAAGTTATATTTAATTACTAAAAATACCTTCATATTTAACAGCCAGGTAGAATAAAAATAGAACAATCTTCATATAAATCCAAAGAGCAAACACTTCAACAAGTAACTTCAAAGATTCTGGAAGTTTTTAACCATATAAACTTGAAATATGTATTTGAGCATTAATTTAAAGCTGTCAACAGCTATGTAAATATGCTGTTTTAAAAATACAAATTCAAAGCACAGCATGTAAGAGGAATAAAAATACACTATGTTTTTCCAAATATTAAATTGTAATAACCACTTCTCAGAAAAATCCCTGAATATATAGTATGTTTTTATGGCTTAGAGAATTGTCTTCCTTTAATTATAATAGTGATGCTAAATTCAGGACATATGGATATTTACATGGTCTATAAACAGTGCTCGGAGGAATGCAGTTCCAAGATTATCTGTTTTCCAGTTATTTACTGAGAAACTCGCACATGACATTCTTGGTTGTGACACGAGAGTCTGTGAGTTGTCATCGCATCTCAGCCTTGAATTCATCACACATAGGTGCGCCACCAGCCCACACTGCCAGGTTGCTTGTGGCCCTGGACTTTGCTGTGGTTCCTTCAGCCATGCAGTAGCAGTGCTGTTCCAGACTCTGCTCTAGTCAGAAGGTGGTGGACCCCATGGCCAGGAGCTGCCTAGGTGGGAGGGAGAGGAGATGGCATGTGGCAGTGTGGGTCAGTGCTTTGGATCCGCTTTGCAGGTGTGCAGCTCCTGAGTGGACCTCAGCACTAGAAATCTGCTGGCCGAATCATCATGGTGGTGGCCTTCAGTGAGTAGCCTGACCCCTTCCAATAGTACCACTTAATCCCGTTGAACTTGTTTGTGTTCTGCCTTTGCGGATAGTACATTCCGTTCAAGTTGGAAGGGCCACATGCATCAAACCACCAGCCTGTGAAAGTGGAACACAGAAAGAGTCAGGAGGGAAGTAAGGCTGACTGCACGGAGTGACGGTACTCGGCCGAGCCAGTGGTCCTGTCCAGAGCCCTGCAGCAGGCACACGCAGATGGCATGTCCTGAGAGTGCTGCACAGGCAGGAGCACGGTGCCCTACTCCACACCCCCACAACCATACTCCCACTGTAGCAAATGTCCTTATGAGCTGGTTTTCCCTTTTGTCTGCTGTGTGGACAGGACTGCCATCCATGGGTGTCTGATTTGGTGGACAGTGCGAGTGGAAGTAGGGGTGAGAAGCACCCACAAGAGCCCTTGGGGGACTCCTAGCCTGGATTACTCTCCGGCGCCTTAGCATGGTGGGCTTAGCGATGTGGGCTCCCCTCCACCAAAAATGTTTTGGTTAAAATAAAAATGTTAAGTATTCAGTGGACCTTGATGGACAGGAATCCTACAGCTATCATGGTACAGCAGGGGGTGCCAGCACAGCAAGTGGGCAGGGTGCCCCTTTGTTCAGGTGTGGTCCTCAGACAGGAGCATGTCAGGTGCCAGGAGGACCCACCTCCATTTACGTGTGAACCAGAATGAAGCTTCAGCACCTTGTGTGAGAGGGATCCATTGTATGGTGCCATTCATGTTAATTCTGTGACAATAACACAAGTATTATCGATGTCTCAGTAGCTATAAGATAAGCCAAAGTGGACGAGACTCAATTCAGGGGCGGAGGAAATGTTATGAGGATAGCTTTTACCACCTGTAAAACTGTATTTCTTAAAAATACTCTAACTCAGACCTGGGAGTGGTAGCACACTCTGTAAGCCCAGCACTCAGGAGGCTGGGCCAGAGGATTGGGAGCTCAGGACTGGTTGAACAACGTAAGGGGAGCCTCTCTCAAACAAGCAAGCAAACGAAACCTAACAGAAAACCAGCGTGACTTGTGCGCGTCAGTGTGCGAGGACCCTTGGGCACCTGCCTGCTCTCCTGCTGACAGCCTTTGGCTTAGATGATTCAGGTGCCGGAGCTGAGTGTTGCGTGGAAACCATGGAATGTTCAGGAATACCAGAGGCATGGACCCAGGCCGCGGAGCCTGTTGACTGACTACAGAACCCACTGTCTCCACAAACATCTCAGTCACAGCTCAGCTCTGGTCCAGGCCCCTGCTAGGAATTTGGCCTCGATACAGCCTGGCCTGCTCTTTTCTCTCTTGGGCTGCTTTTCTTCTCCCCATTTTTCCCTCAGCTCCACTCTCAGCCCCTAAATCCTGATCTGGTAAATAAGTACATTGTTTCCTTGGATGTTAATGCAGTCCTGCTACTCTCTGGAGCCACTGGCTCACCTCACAGGGGTGGTCTGGGAGCCTCTGGCCTGTCAGACACTGGGTCCAGAGTGTGGGAATGGAGGACAGGAAAGGGGATTAGGGGTATTTGTGCTCCCCTTGTCAATGGCTTTAAAGAGGATTATTGTGGTGGGAATGAGGGAGACCAGAAGCTTTTTATAAAATCAGTGTAATAAGTTTTCTCTACTCAAAATAATAGGACTTTCTGGGAAAACCCACATCACCAAGCAGTGACTGTATTATCTCAGAACCACAGGACTGATTTTTAGTGGGGCTTAATTCTTGCAGTAGTAAAGACTTTAAATTTAAAGTCATGAAAACTATTGAATTTCCTTTTTGTTCCATAAATTAATCCTCTTGACTGTCAGCAATTCCTATATGAAATGCAAATGTTGTGTAAGCTTTGGTCTTTCCCTTGTCTTATGCAGCATCTGATCTTTATAAAATATATCAACCACTGCTCTAACCTTTGCTTTTCCTGGGTAAGCAATAACTCCATTTTTGCTAATATAATTTATATTCTCCACTAATTAAACCCTGCCAGTTTCTATTGGCACTCTTGGCAGAGTTCCTGGTGTTTTTTAAAGTCTTTTTGAGTTTTTAAGAACCAACTAGACAGCATTTGTCAGTCTCCTCTCTTATCTCAGTCATTACTAGATGCTCCCTGCTACTCCATTCCAAAACTTAAAAAAAACTGAAAGTATAAGTTATCTAACAGTTGGTTCTTTTCAGGGAACTCTTGAATGTTTCTGATACCAACCCAGCTGAGGGCCATGAGGGCCACAGCAGTCTAGTCATGGAGTGGTTTTTGGTTATTAGTCAGGTGGGAAACAGGAAAGGCCTTGGTTTAAAGTCTGCAATCACTCATTTTACTCTGATGCACTGAAAAAAAAGCAGGTTGCTTAATTAATTGCTTTGTTTGTATTTGCTTGTATTAATAAAACATGAAGTGAAAATACCTTGTTTGAATGTTAAGATATTAATAGAAATAAAGCAAAATGGAACGAAATCCTCTCCCTGATGTGTGCTACCCAGCAAGCACAGACTCGAGAGAACTTGTGGGGTGCTGAACGTACCCTCTCCTGGCCAGGGGTGGTTCTCAGGGACACAGTTGGCCTGCTGACCGTGCACACCCCTTATCACATTCTCACTTCTGAAACAGTGAAAAACAACTTTACCTGTGTTGGGCTAGTTTGTCTGTTTATGAAATTTTGGATGTGGAAGTCCCCATGACTTACCTTTTGTACTCTGAAATTACTCAACGCAAATAGGAAGACAGAAGTCATCCCTACCTCCTGTTAGCATTTGTGAACATTTGCAAATACATTTGTCGTTGTCTGCATCCTTTGTGCTAAAATCATTTCCTGGTTGGCTTATGCTGCTTATTTTGCCGGCTGTGCCTGTGAGTCCTTTAAGGTGAATCCTGTAAGCATGCAAAGGAAAAAATAAAAGATGTAATTGGCTTGGGTTGTTGATTTACTGTAGTGGAAAATTTTTCATAGTGAAGCATTCCCTTGGACAGAAACGAGTTCTGTGCCGGTCAGTGCACTCCAATACCTACTCAGGACAAAACAGTTTGCACTGGTATAAACAGGAACCAACTTATCATCAAACCCTTCGGCAAAGAGGGATGTTTTCATGAAAACTTCAACACATATCACTTGCACAAGTATCAGCAGGCCCTGTAGGGCCCTATAGTTTATTTTCCTGCCGCTTTCAGATAAGCAGAAGAGGGGACCACAGCATGAAGAGGCGAACCCCAGGTCTCCAGTCACTGTTGTATGGAAAGCTCTACACGAGGCCCAGTGACCCCAGCAGTTACTGTTCCCTGCGGGGCTGGGCATGGGGACCAGTGGACCGCAGACAAGGCATGGTGTTGAGGCTGTGCACAGCTGTGGAGAAAATGAACCTCGCAGGCTGCTCTGCATTATTCCTCTTCAGTGGTATAAGTGGTCAGCTTTGAGGAAGGAATGAATGGCATGCTAGGACAGCCCATGCTTTGGGGATGTCACAACGACATGGCTTCCATCAGTCACCTGGCCCAACTAGGAGACTCTAAATTAAGGCAGCAGGGGTGTGGTTTTCTGGAGTTCCCATGTGCAGGTGGTTCGGGATGGATCAGAGCTCGCGCTGGAGATGGCTGAGGGAGGATATGCACGTGCTGATGCTCTGAATCCCCTTGTTCTGATGGAGATGCAGGCACACCAAGACCTGGGCCACGAACCAGAAGTTCTGCGATGGCAGCAAAGTTGTACTGTACACCTCTCCAAGGATGCTTGTCCTTGTGAAACCTGCTGATCACCTTGGAAACCTGTGGCCTTGGAAGTAATATAATTTGCAAGAATTCCTGTTGGAACAAAGTTCTGAGAGGAGAGGAGAGGCCAACTGGGTTCCAGGCACTGAGCAGGCATGCGCCGAGCCCCATGACAGCCCGTGGGCACTATGCCTGCCGTCACCACGATCAGAAGTCGGAGCTAGGATTCACATCAGACGCACAGTTTTGTGTTGTGCACTTTACAGAGCTAACTGCTTATGGCGGAGGCGGGTGTGGAAGGCTGGGGATGGGAAGCACATCCCGTGGGGCTCTCCACGCGCGGCTCCTGTGTATTCTCAGGGTAATGGCTTCCGCGTGACTTTTTCAAAAAAATACAGCAGCCCTAGAAACTTCATGCCACATTAACTAAACTTCTGAATTTCAACATTTTCCTACATGCTTGAAAAATGAGACTGGCCAGATACTTGCTGCAGAATGTCAGTGCAGCAAGTTCTCACTGAGGCGGGGATTCCGAGCCCTCTTCTTCCCTCCGGCCTCTTCCCGTAGACCCGAGAAGGGCCTGAGGGGAGCTGCCTCTTTGGCCAGTCCTCTGTGTGTCCCTCCTGTCTCCTCGGAACAGTCTGTTCCCATGCAACTCATTAACTTTCCCCAAAGGCAAGCAGAATAAGGGAGAGTATTACTTTTATTAGTGCCTGTCTGGAAAGCTGTGATTTTTAATCCTTTAATCCTTTAGCTGGTTTAAAGTGCTTCCTTTTACAATTTATCAGTAACAGCTTCTTTCGTTTCTTTTCTTTCTTTTTCTTCCTCTTCCTTTCTCCTTCCTCCTCCTCCTCTTCCTCTACTCTTCCTTCTCCTTTTCCTGCTGCTCTTCTCCTTCTTCTCACCTTCTCCCTTTTCTCCTTCTTTTTCTACCTCTTCCTTCTCCTCCTCCTCTTTTTGTAGTATTGGGGATTAAACCTAGTTTTACACTGACCTACATCTCCACCCACCCCATTTTTCAGCACCCTAATTCTTCCTGGATTATCCTAAACTTTGATTCCTTTTTTATTGTTATTGTTATTTACTTTGAGACAGGACATCACTGTGTTGCCCAGGCTGTGTTCGATCTTGGTGCCAGGATTACAGATGTGCGCCACCGCATCCAGCTAATTATAGCCACGCTCTTGAATTTGCTTTGATTTTGTATTACTTGATTGTCTTCAACAGTGAGGTAAAGAGGTGGTGCAACATTTGACAATTATGTCTATAGGGTTGCTGAATGATTTATAAGAAGTGACTAATTTTTAAAGGTTAATATACAAATAGCTTCTGGTTTTATTAAAGAGTCCTATCCTATTGGTGAATTTATTTGCTTCTTCTTATAATCTGCACTTTTCAGTTTTCCAACATTTGGGAAACATTTTCTAAGTGGGGAAAACACGGCAGACACCACACACAGTTGGCGTTCTGGAGCATTTGTGGACGCTAGAAGTTTTAGTCATGTCACTAGTCTTTTGTCACATCAGCATCATGTTTTATTTGTGCAGAGATTTTTGTATAATGCGTTTCATGTTGCCAAGAAAATTAAACTTTAAACCAGTATGTGTTTTTCTAAATGGGGCATTCAAAAGCTGATTGCCTATCTAAAGGAAATGTCCACTAAGCACCATCCCAGTTTAAAATACTTTTCTAATGTCAGCATACAAGGGTAATGACCCATTCTGTAAAATCTTCTTACACAAACAGTCTAATCCTTAATTTTTGTATTTCCCTTTTTTTAGCTCCTCTGTTGTAGAGTCCTAACTGTTGCCAGTTGAGAAAATATTTAGCTTGGAGGTGACACAATGAGAACCGCTTGTGTCTCAGCATCCACTGAGGTTCTGCTCTCTCTGGAGCCTGGCAGGGCCTGCTGGGCCCAGCACCTACCTCACCATATGTCCCCCAGCCTTTCCAGGAGCCCTGCTTTCAGTGTTGGGAACTGATAGCCTGGGCCTCTGGGTCTTCTTCAGAGTTCCATCTTTTGAGACACACTTCGGAATGGATCCCGCATCCTAGGCAGGCTGCCAGGTGTGGCGGGGCTCCCGGTGGTGGTTCAGGCCCTGTGAACCTGTGTTTGAGCTGGCCGTGGGGCCCTTCTCTGGAAGCCACCTTCAGGCCTTCCTCTCGTGCATCCCAGCAGGCCCGATCTGGGAGCTCATGTGGCTGGGATCCTTGGCCTGGCAGTGACTGCTGCCCCTCTGAGCGTCACTTGTGCTCGTGCAGTGTGTGCCTGCCATTCCCAAGCCGCTAGGCTGTGTTGCATGGGCTCTCATGGAGTGGTGCTGGTCACAGCTGCCCCTGGCCACTTCCGCTGGTGCCAGTGGCCCACACGCTCACAGGCTGCCACGGTTGGGGCCAGCCTGCTGTCTGCGTGGCTTTGCTGCACCCGCCCAGCACGGCAAGGCCGTCACACTCTGGCTCTACGCGCATGGTGTTGTAGAGTCAGGAAGGAGACTCCCGTCCAGGTGGCACTCTCCATCCACTACTGCCCCACATGGGGAAGGACGGGAGGGTGCAAAGGGAGGCTGCGCCGGATCCCTCTTTTCCAGGGCAGAGGGGTTGCCTGATTGCCGCATTTAAATCTGGCCAGTAACCCTCACTTTGGGATTGAGCGCAATAATTTATGTTTAAACTTCAAACAGAAGCTTAACTTTTAGTGCCTTGGGGAAGAAAGCAGCATAGTCCCAGATAATTGTGCTGTGATAATAGTGAGACTCGGCATTCACTGGTGTCTGCAGACTGCTGTGTGCGGCGTGCTCTTTGAAGAATCAGGCCAGGCAGAAAGCCTCAAGAAGCTCCTGTACAGTGAGAAGTGACTGTAGGGAAGAGACCCCTTTGGCGGCGAGAGACCCCGGCTAAGCGTCGCATTCGCTGTCCGGATGTCGGCCGGTCCCCTCCAGAGGCAGCTGCCCAGCTTACCGGTACTGGAGCTCCTCGCTGGCCAGGGAGAAGTGCTCATACAGGGAGTACGCCTCGCTGCCCTCCCAGTCCTGCAGGTGGATCCTGAGCATGTAGCCCTGCAATCTGGTCAGCTGGGAGACCAGCTCGTTCCCCAGCCAGTGCTCTCCCGCGGGGTTCCCGAAGCCCTGGAACCCAAGGTGGGAAACTCGGTTACTTGGTTTATTTTTTCTTTACATATTGGAAACCCAAGGCTCATCAGTCTACCATGGAGTGACTGCCAGCTGATTGGCAGAAAACACTCCCTGTACTGTGCGAGTGCAGGGTCTTCCCCAGGAGGGGAAGTGTTAGGACCAAGCTGTTCCTGGGAGAGCTCCTGTTAGAGTAGTGAGGGCTCCTGGGGTCCCGGGTGAGGGTGTGGTCGTGTAAGCACGGCCCAGGAGCAGGGCATAGGGTGCCTGCCTGCCTGCCTGCTTGCTGGGCCTGGACACCCGGTCTTCAGTGGGGATGCCGGGGAGGACCTGCCCTAAGAAAGTTGGTCGGAAGTCACTGCCCTGCATGGACCTGTGTGCGCCTAAAATTCTGAAGATCTTGACAGTTTTCACTAAGGGCATTATTTCTTTTAAAGACTATCCATACCACTTTATACTCTTTCCAAGTCCTCTGGAAATCAACGCTGCCGTTTTCCCGGCGCTGAATGACCGTCCAGCCGCCCCCGCCCATCTCCATGTCGCAGTAGGCCTGCCAGAGGAAGTGCACAGTTACCACATGCAGACAGCAGGGACAGGGCTTTGGGTGTGGACACACACTGCACCAATTGTGCCGGGGGCACATGCCCAGGACGGGGCACACGTAGGGCTAAGTCTACTCCCAGGCTCTGTGGGGAAAGTTGGAAACATTTAACATGATGAAGGAAAATAGCCATATAAATGCCTTTCTTGTCAGCATCTGTTGCTGGCTGAAGACCCCAGCCCCAGAGATGACTGAGACAGCAGCTTTTGAGTGACTTGTGAATGGGACATCGCAGGCCACTGCCCCAACCCTCACTTCAAACAGAGAAAACCACCGAGTTGTGTGCGCAGCTTTGAAGCCCCTTCCCTGCCTGCAGTGCCAGCAGCCCTGCAGGCAGCTGTGGAGAGCCGTGCACTTTTGATGGCTTTCTCTGTGTGCGGTAAAGGCTGCTCTCCGAGCTGGGGCCTGGCCCTCTCGTGTGCCAGTGCCCTGTGACCCCCACTTGGCCAGGCAGCTTCACTCCAGGTCATGAGTTCAGGCTTCTCTGTACCTTGCTCACTGCCTATGGTATTTTTCTTCCTAACTTTTTATTTCTGGTTTTCAACTGGCTCCATGGATTTAAACTTTGTCCCAAACACAGAATTCTTTTTTGGGCAAAGAGCATGCATGCTCAATTTCAACTCAGCTGGAGTTTTATTATGAAATTAAGAACCCCTGAAAATAAGATTACATAAATGGCTTACAATAATGAGATTATAGTAGGACAAAAATTGTTCTCCAGAAAGAAGGATAGTTTCCTTATACCATACGAGGTAGGAAATATTGAAGTTATGGTTCACAACCCATTCTGAAGACTCTTCTTTTGTTGTTTTCCCTGGTCCTTTAGAGTGTAAGGGAGAGTTTTAGCTGGGTATGCGTAAATGTGAATAGTTCTATATTTGCAAGTTAGGGCCCAAGGGATGAGAGCTGAATCCAAGACGGTACCTGGTCCTGTCCTTCTGTCTTCCACATGTGACCCAGGTACCCCAGGGCCCCACAGACTGCAGAGAAGCCCCCCACACCTGCTCTGCAGTGACCCTGTCTAGCACCCCATCTCCTCTGTGAAAGTCATGGGCTCATTCTGCCTTCCCCAGGGACTCTGCTATTTAGAAAAGTAAACATCCAGAGAGAAAATGCATTTATCGATACGAAAATCATTTCCCCAGTTTAACTTAAATATATAAAATTCATCTACTGAAGGAAGCCCCTTTAATGTCACTCTGTATTGAGATTATTTTTATTACCCATCACAGTTGTGGTTGGGACATGACAGTTTTGCAAGCCCAACCTGACAACATCATTCTGCATCTTTGAAAGGCAGAAAGATTTAAAGTTAATTAATTTTATCACAGTCATTCAGCTGTTAAGTAGCGTACAGAATTTGAACAAAGTTGCGTTAATTCCTGTGTAATATTTTTTCCATTACATCATCTGACAAAAACAAAGAAACTTGATCCCTTTGTTAGTAGACCAAAAGTCCCTGGACACAGCTCCGAATGAAATCAATTCATAAATAATACTGTTTCTTATTTGCCTATGGGCAACAAAATGGTCAGTGCTGCTCAATTCTATCAGTGTGTCTTTTTAAAAATACAGTTAGTGAACTGGTTGAATAAGGAAACTGATTTCAGATCTGTGTGTACACACAGAAGTTAATTCTCAAGTGTCCACACGGCATACTGAGTTGGAAGAACTGACGGTTCCTTGGGGGCGTGTCCCTGTTCCAGGGATGTGTGATTGAAGTTAGGGTCCCCATGATGAGGTTGCTTTCCTGTCCAGAGCCTGAGCTGTCTTGTTCTGGGAGTGTGAGCCAAGACTCTGGGACATCGAGGGTCCCTGCCTGGGCACAGGTGACTTGAGCTGGTCACTGTCCCTCTCACTCCATCAGTTACCATGATAAGCTTATTAGGATATTTCTTCATACTGTACCCAGCTTTATAAAATGAACAGAAGATCTGTAAAAACTGAAGAATTATAATCACTGAGTCATGCAACTTGAAGAAAGAGCTTCAAGACAGAACTGTCCACATAGCCAGGGGATATTCAGTGAAAATGGTGAAGTAGATTCTATCAGGATCAGAGAAGCAGAGATACACAGCAAAAGCCAAGAGCTCCACACTAGGTTCCAGCAAGCTGCAGGCAGTCAGCCCTTTCGATGAGCTGTGTTGCATGGAGCAGGGGCCTGATTGCCTTGCTAGAAAGCCTGATGCAGCTCAGCACATAGTGCTTGATTAAGTGCTGCAACTGAGCTCATTAAACAACTGACCAAATAACAAACACATGCATATTAGGAGTCGGGTATCCTGGGAAATTTAAGGATGAAAACTTATGCTTCTGAATAGCACAAACTGCCACTCATGCTTCTGATAATATCCCCTTGTGGTGTCTATCTTAATCCTAATGAATTTTTCAAGCATAAAGTTACAGTAGTTAGGTCTTTTTGGTGGAAAAAATTCTGTTCAGAGAACTATTGAACATTGTTTTCTTGAATTAGGTGACTCAGGGCAGAATCTAGTACACTGCTATGCCAGGAAATTGTCCCATGGTCTTGGGGAACCCCTGTTTTTATGGCAAGCCCTACCTGGCCAGCGTCCCTCCACAGGCACTACCTCCAAAGTGGGAGGTGTCGTCCTTGTGTGACAGGTGAGGACTGAGAGCTCAGAGAGCCGCAGGTGCACAGAGCTGGAATTTAAACCAAGTCTACCTGACTTCCCCCATCAGACACTGAACTGTGGAGACTTAAGGCTGGAAGGGAATTTCAGAGGTAACTTAATCTGGATAATTTATTGTAGAGAAGAGAAAATCGAGGTTTTGAAAGAACATTGTCCCGTGCTGTGTAAATGAATTTATTTTGGATGTGTAAAGGAAATATAAACCTTAATGTTTCCAACCCTGACCTGAGCCTCTTGGCAGGGTGCACTGGTCAGCCCATGCAGGTGGTGTGACACAGTCTCCCCACGCCATCAGTGCTGTCCCTGGGCCCTGCGTGTACAGCAGCCATGCTGTGTCCATGTCCTCTGCTCTGGGCACTGCTGTCCCTTTTATCTCCAAACCAAGAACATGCACTTCTAGTGCCAGGCAAGAGTCTGCAAAAACCTGTGCTGTTCCGCAGAGCGCTTGGTGGACTGAAAGGCAGCAGCGCAGCCTAGGGCTGGTTGCTCTTTCATCTGGGCTGGCCTGTTTGTTTTTTTCTTCCCTGATACTCTGTTTCTAAGCCACTAGGGACATTAACTGATTTTCGAGCATCTTGAATGAATTAGAAAGGTTTCTTTGGAAAGTATTCTCTTAAATAGCACCGCATTTATCTTTAAATCCGTAATCAAAGTATATGTTACTGTTTCAAATTCCACATCTTTAAACTCCCAAATGCTTGTGTTTTTCTTTGCTACAACGTTAAATACCAAGTTCAAAATATACTCCAGGAGCCTCTAAGCCTTCCATCTCACACAGTGCAGGTGTATTTTCTGGAGTCCTTTGTCAGTACTGTGTGTACCAGCTTTAACTTCAGTGTGCACATTGCTTGTGTATCTGTGTTCACCTCACAGGTCACGGGTCGCCCTGAACTCTCCCCCAGGGATGTGATTTTCTGTGACTGTCCGGAGCACAGGGTGTCCCTCGGCTGTGCCAGGAGTGGGCTCATTAAGTGCAGAGTGGCTGAGTGTGGCCATGTGGCCATGGCCTACTGGACAGTGCTGTCACACACTTTGCACACGACAGTGGGGCACATGCCCAGAGAGTGCTGTTTTAGGTCCTGCAGGCCATGTCCTGCCTGGAGGGCTGTCCCGGTGTGGGCTGCAGACCCCTGGGCATCCCAGGGACTCAGCAGCCGCAATTCCCTGAGGAGGAAGCCACCTCCATATTGATACTGGGGCATCCCTGGCCTGTGGCAGTGCCAGCATGTGTACCCGTGAAGCAGAACAGTGGTCTACGACTACTGGCTCCTGGCGGGACACAGGGCAGGGATGCGAACCGTGCTAGCGTCCCTACACTCTGGACAAAGGAAAGTCAGGGTCAGTTAAAGAAGTCTTTGATAAGCAATAAAGTCTGCTGAGACCAGGCCTTGCTGTGTGGCCAGACTGTCCCACACTCCCTCCTGCCTGGGCAGACAGCGTTAGTTTTATTGCACCTCTGGTCCTGCAGGCCTGTGTCTGAGATGCTGTGGGAGGTGAGAAGTACTCGTAGTCACTACTGCATGCCACAGGGCCATAGCTGTCCCACAGAACCACTTTACTGTGATTGCTGTCAGTGTGAACTGAACCAGTCTTCTTTTCTCCTTCATGGAGTATAGCTTGCAAGAGTGATCAAAAGACAAACTGCAGTATGCACACTTCAGCTGGGAGAAGGTGGTGTCTTTAAAATTAATGAAGTGAGTCAGGCACTTCAAGGAAAACACCATGGTCTTGTCATGTTCAAGCAGAGTATTTTCTGGCAGGAAACAAGACAGACATCTCCCACCGTGACACACAGCATCCATGCTCCACACACAGCCCTTGGCCAGCATTGGTACTCAGGCCCTGAGGCCTCTGCTCAAGGTCCCTTCCCTAATGCGCCTCATGCCTACCTTTATCTCCTCTGTAGAGTTGGGAAACGTGAGTGTGTAGACACCACTGGTGGTGTGTCCGGCTTTGAATACAGCAGCACAGTCTCTGTATACTCTCTGTTCTTCCTTGGCAATGGAATTCTTAGCTGTGTTTAAAACAGTCAAGCATTTCAATGGAGTTTGTGAAAAGAGAAAAGTTTGTTCAAGGCCCAGTCATTTGGTGAGTTTAATACATCTGAATTTTTATAATGAGCAAAAGAATGTGCCAGTGTTTTCTTCTTTCCTAAAAAGTTATATTTTCAACCTGTCTTCCTATGACTTGATTCTTACAAATAATCCATACTTGTTTGCCATCAGTTATGTGTAATCCAAGTCAACAAAATAAACTGCTACTAAGTTTAAACTGTTACTTTTTACATAATCAGGTGAACTTACTATGGAGGACTAGTCAGGGAATGGAGGACTAGTCAGGGAGCAGAGGACTAGTCAGGGAACGGAGGACTAGTCAGGGAGGGGAGGACTAGTCTGGGAAAGTGCCTAAATGCAGTGTTACCCCACTAGCCTCTGCTGCATATCCCTTTGGGTTGTTGTCCCGGGAACCGTCCTGTTCATTTTCTCCTTTCTTTTTTGTATGTCTGAGGCTAAGGTTTTCACTTCTGTGGAATATTGGATGGACCCATTTCCCACTCTTTGGGATTTTAGCAACTGTCTCATTAACAGTTTTTACTTTAGAAGAGCAGGATGTTAATTTACCTGATTTTTTTTTTTTTTTTTTTTTTTTTTTTTTGGGGTTTTAATACTGGGGATTGAACTCGGGTCCTTGCACTTGCAAGGCAGGCCACCAAACCACTGAGCTAAATTCCCGGCTGCCTGCATATTTTAAATTCTTCTAAGTCTACATCTTCTGGAGCTATGAAATCCCCTTCAGATTTTAATGCTGCTGTCGACATTTGGGCCTCATCTTCCTTTTTGCCACAGCACAGTGTGCATGTCCGTGCATGGCTCTTCTGTCTTCACTTTTTACTCAGGAGCCCTGCGCAGCTGCAATCCTGGAGCAGACACCACATGTCAACATGGAAACCCATCCTGCACTCCTTTTTGCGTGCTCCTGGTTTTCTGCCAGGATGTGAGCTGCAAGGTGTCTCTCCCTTGTCTTCCCGTGCCAGTGGCTCACACTGTCTTAGGCCCACCAGCCTCACATGATTACCTTTGCTTTTTCTGTGAACGTGAAGAAAACAGGCTTTTTCTGTACCATAAGAGAGCAAAACTCTTGCTGGAAAGCACACAGAGCACAGCAGCCTGGACTTGGCGGCAGGATATCAGGACTGTGCCCCTGTGGCATCTGTGCATTTGTTTAAGAGAGCACTTGGATTGTTTCCGTCAAGGTGGAGGTGACTGCACACCCCTGGGAGAAACCCTGTGATTCATGTGTGAAGCCCCATGACTCCCATGCAGAACATATGTATCTGTGTCAAGAGTTCAGGTTAAAAAGAGCTCATGAAGTAAACCGTAGCATAACTAGGTCAAACTTGCTTAGGGAAACAAACGGAAGTGCCACAAGGTTGTGTAGCACTCTGTTAGCTAATGACTGCCTAGTTTGCCTTCCCCTAATATCTAAGCGGCTGGAAGGTACAGCAGTCATGAAGAAGGCAGACCGCATCTGAGGGCCTGGTCAGAGGAGGGAGCTAATGCCCACATGCCGGTCACTGAAAGAGTTACTTCTTTGAATCCCCATGGCCGTCCTACATGCCAAGGGGTGTATTCCAAGGTGAAATCCAAAGAAAGGAGGACTGCCACGGCTTAGTAAGTCGCTGGCCTGCCCCACCCCCGATGAGGGCACCCGCACAGAGTAGGCTCTTTACAGCCTTGTGCAAAAAAGTCTGTTCAGGAGTTCTGCCTCATAGCAAGTGACGGGTGTGTGTCCCCTTCTCCTTCTCCTTCACGCCTCCTCCTTTCTGCCTGATTCTAGTTGGGTCCCTAGGAGCTTTCATGTGAAATATAAGGGAAATCGGGTCTCCTCTGAAAGATGAGAATTTGTTAGAATTTTGACAGTCCATTGACGACTAAAGGTTATTAAAACTGAAGAAAAGTGTAAACTTCACTTACAGTTTGGTGCTGCTATCATAGTCATTAAGTTGTGGACAGTCTCCATCAGATCCAGCTGCTGCTTCTGAAGGGCCGAGGTGTTCACGGTGGCAGTGACCAGTTGCTTCTCCAGCTCCTTGATGATGGAGTTTTGCTTGGACACCAATACCTGGAGCTCCGCCTTCTCTTCCTTCATGGACTGTAGCTGCACCGAGTGCTTGTCCTCCATGTCCAGCACTCTCTGCTCCAAGACACTGGAAGGGAGGGAAGGAGAGAGGGCAGTGCTTGTCAGCTCCTGGGGCTTCTCAGAGGCAAGTGCCCCATAAGCACCTGATCACTGTCGTGGTCCCGATGGAACTGTTTGAAGGTAGGGTGCTCTGTTAGGGTGTGATCGGAATTACGGTGTCACAGCTCTAAAGAGTCTCATACTTGTTATGACTAGACAGACAGACAGACAGAGAGACATAATGGGAGGTTCTGAGCTGTGTAGAGGAACATGAGTGTCACAAGCACTCTGTGCTGTAAGGGTGCTGTGCACCCAGATGCTTCAGTGACCTGCGCTCTGTCCAAGTGAGATCACAAAGCAAGCCGTCTCCACTGGAGAAAACACCTAATGGGACTGTGAGGCCCCCAGTGCAGAGAGGGTGAGGCAGGCACAGCTGTCTGTCACCTGGGCAGTGCCTGTCGTGCTCCCCGGGGACATCTCCACCTCCACAAAGGTGTGAGATCAGTGAGCACTGGGGCCTCTGGCTGTTAACTCTGTGCGTCTAGCATGTCATTTTTTTGGCAGTGATATCTTCTGAACCTTTAACCCCACAAACAGCCCCAGCCAGCCAAGGGTCTGGACTGTAAGTGATAATAACCGTAAGTAATAACAGCTTGTCCATAACCAGTGCTAATTGTCACTATTGGAAGTTGAACTCCGGCTCTTCAGTTTATCCTAGCCCTCTGGTCATTATAAATCACTGTGTGATGACAAATGCTCTGGCAAACACTGAGCCAACCATCCGTGGCTGTCGTGCAGTCATTTTCATTAGGCTTCGTCAGTTTTTCCATATCCGTTTTCAACTGTTGTTCCTGAATGCTTCTCTTGATATTAGCTAATTTCAAAGGATAGGGATATAGCACTTTCATTAATTTATAAACCAAGATGGTTTCCCATGAGGAAGGTAATCTAAAGGTTAAGTGTGTAAATTTTTCCTGCTCTCTGCCTGAACTCAGGCTTAGTGGCACTGGCACGCAGGCTGTGTACCTTGAGAGGCGCTGCTGCAGGTGTGACCTGGGAAAGCCGCACAGAGTGTATGGGCACCCATGTGTCGCCAGTCTCCACTGCGGCACCTTGGCAGTGACGTTCTGAGCTCTGCGGTTTAGTCAGCTGTGTGAGAGCACAACAGAAAGATGTGGCAGCCACACAGTCTGGAATCGTCAGTGGGACGAGCGGCTAAGAAACGACTGATTCCGTCTCTTCTCTTCCTGCCTAGCCCTTACCAGGGCAGCCCCAGAGGGCAGTAGCATCCCAACGGAAAAGAACTTGCTTTGGGGTTAGCATAAGCACGTGCCTGAGACAAGCCAGCATCGGATCACCCAGCCCAGACGGACTGGGGTCAACGCAGCTGAGGAGGTAACAGATGGCCACACTTCACAACCATCAGCATGTAGGGACCCTGTGACACAGCAGCCTTTTACAAAATGCACGTCAGGACCCGTCAGTGGCTTGTAAAATCAAATTAGTGAGTTGTAGCTCGCTTTTTCTTCATGCAGTGGTAGAAAACAGATGAAAATACCGAGTAAATTCATGGTGGGGGCTTTGCACACTGAAGAAATCCTGTGGCCAGTATTGATGAGTGCTAAAGGAAAAATGGGAGCAAGTGTGGGGAACAGGCCGGCTGGAAACGAGTAGCCTCATAATTTGCTCATGGCATCTTATGTGATTTTCTGACATGAGGGATCACCTACAGGCTGTCACCACCAAGGTGGACTTCGGTACAGCTTCACTTCACGTCAGCATCGCTCAAGGTTAATCGGGAGCTGTGGGGAAGAATCCTGTTGGCAGAAACATCAAGAATGGGAATCGCATTTGTGATGCTTCAGTTGTGGTTTGTGTCTAACAAAGGTTCATGGGTTAGAAGCTCCTGCGTGGCAACATGGGAGGTGGTGGGACCTTTAAAAGGTGGGCCCTGGGGGGGCCGCAGCATGGGGGAGCTGCCCTGGAAGGGATTGAAGGAGCTCTCCTGGGATTCACGCTGTCACCTGAGCAGTTGTTAATAAACGATCCCGCCCCACCTGAGTCTTGTCTGGTTCTGTCTGTTGCGAATGCGAACTCTTTCTCCCAGGTGTGAACTCTTCCTCCCTTCTTCCTGCCATTCTGGTACCATTTGCACCCAGGCCCTCAACCGTGAGGCTGAATGAGTGGGGTTGCCTTCTGTTGGACTTACAGCTTCCGAAATTGTGAGTTAATTAGACTTTTGTACTTTAGAAAGTGAGTCTGGGCTTAGGGATTTCATTATAGTCTGCTTCTCTCTCTCTCTCTCTCTCTCTCTCTCTCTCTCTCTCTCTC